TGGCTGCCAGCAGTTGGATACGTGGGCTCTCCAGGTCGACAGGTCCATGTGTGTCCAGGGCCTCCTCCAGCTCCCAGCAGGCTTTCTCACTCGCTGTTAGTCTGAACATCCACTCTGCCAGTGGTCACTCCATATATGGTATAGTGAGGAGATCCTGCAGGAAACACAGGCAGCACTGGATGAATGGTGGCTTTGGTGGCTTTCCCCAGAGACACAAGCAAGTCTGGATGGGGAGGCATGCTCTGCCTGTGCTGGGCTGAGATCTACTTGTTGCTCCAAGCAGATCCCATTAGGACAAATACAGTAAGGACCAGATCTACTCCTGTTATTCCTGGGTCTGCTGAGGGTTGTGTCTCTGGGGCTGCCTTCCAAAGAGGTGACATGGGGTGGACCAAACCCCCACTCCACCTCTTTCCACCACTGGGCAGGGACATGCCCTCGGGGTTGTGCCTGTCAGAGGGATGTGCAAAGCACCTGTCTCTAGAGCTTCACAGCATCACCACTGGGGACACTGCCAGGACACCCCCAGGGAGACTGGTTAGGGCCAGTGAGACCCCTCAGTGCCCTTGACACTCATGCAGATATTGTAAATGTTATTTGGGGGAGATTTGTGAGGTCATGAGGAATGACCCATATTATCTACACAGAAATTCAGTTTTGGATTAACAACTTTATGATGAAAAACTATTTACAGTTTTAGTGAAGATAATCTTTTGGTTTCAGCAGCAAGGGGGACTCAGCTTTCACAAGACTCTAATTACTTCTTTGATGCAAAGGTCACTGCATGTCTAGCGGAGGAGACAGAGTAGCAGTGACTGTGCAATGCCTGTGAGGCCATTAATGCAAAGTGTTTTGCACTGACAAAAGGGCAGGATCAACGTGCAGTTTGCTTGGAAGTTTCTGCCTTGCTTTTTTGGGATACTTCTGGTAGTTTGGTAATGTGTAAGAAGGGGCACTGCCTTCTCAAGAAGCATTTCTGACGGACTCAGCTGTACCTTTGCTACATGGTTAACACTGATTTCCAGTGAATTGGTTAGAACTAGACCTATCTGCTTCAGAGCTCATCCTGTTCTGGTGCATGGCATCACAGCCATGAAGACTAAGAGCATCATGGTCTAACCCTGAGATGACATGATCTCCCTAGGGAACCATCAGCTATCAGCTTATTCTCCAAAGCCTGTGTCTCATGTTCTGCTGCAGGTCACAGAATCATATAATTGTAGTATGGTTTGATCTGGAAGGGACCTTTAAAAGTCATTCAGTCCAACCCCCCTGCCATGGGCAGGGACACCTCCCACCAGACCAGGTTGCCCAAAGCCCTGTCCAACCTGGCTGTGAACACCCCCAGGGAGGGGGCATCCACAACTTCCCTGGGCAACCTGTGCCAGTGTCTCACCGCTCTTACTGTAAAAAATTTCCTCCTTATGTCCAATCTAAATCTATTCTGTTTCAGTTTAAAGTCTCTTTCTTCCTTCTGTCTGTGCCCCACAGAGTGAGGACAAAATGGAATATTTAGGGCATGAGGAGGAGGGGGCTATCTGCTCTCTCCTATAGTACTAGTCCCGATTACTGCTTTTTGTAATTAGTATGTAGGAAACACGGGAATCCATACCTAACAAACAGCAAACAAATAAATTGACTGCAATTCTACAAAATTATAAATGGAATTAGAGACCAACTGGCTTTGCTCCTGTGAATGCAGCAGCATGTAATGCAAGGCAGGAACATTCATTCTGCCCATGTAAGATGTAGCTGGGGTAAGGGCTGTCCTCATCTCTGAACACCATTTCTGAATTATTTAGCACACAGCCTTTCTGCTCCAGCAATAGACTCACTCAGAGCTCATCTTGTCTGCTTTTACTTTCTTTTCTTTCATTCTTTCTTAAACAGACTTGCAATTGCTCCCATGTATTATTTATTGGCAATACTATGCTTTTATAACATAGCTGTGGATGGAACAGACTCTGTAGGCACAGTTTGCACCCCATATTTGGAATAATTTGCAGGAAGAAAGAAAATAGACTGCAGTTCAATACATAGGGTATCAGAATGTGAAAAAAACAAAGAAGTGTATACAGTTGCCTCTATTTGTCCATGAATTACTCTCTTCTGTGCCATAGAAAACCTAAAAGCAATCTTCAATAAAACCGTACCCTAGTTGCATTCTTTATTCTGGCTTTATTTCTTCTTTTTATTTCCTTTTGTTTGGTTGGTTTTTTTTTACAGAAGCAGCCTACTTCTGTAGCATGTTAGAGTGTGATGCAATAAAGTCTCCACCACATCATATTTCAAATAGTTATTCATTGCATGCTAGAATCTCCACCCTTGCTTCCTGTATCTGTATTTTAGTTTACTTGAAAGAAAATTCAGTGCTATGAATCATAGAATGTACTGGGTTGGAAGGGTCCTTTAAAGCTCATCCAGTCCAACCCCCCTGCAGTGAGCAGGGACAATGTTACCAGATCAGGTTGCTCAGAGCTCCATCAAGCCTGACCTTGAATGCCTCCAGGGATGAGGCCTCCACCACCTCTCTGGGCAACCTGTTCCAGTGATCCACCACCCTCATGTTGAAGAACTTTTTCCTAATATCCAACCTAAATCTACCATTTTCTAGTTTAAAACCATTACCCCTCGTCCTATTGCTACATACCCTAGTGAACAGCTCTTCCCCAGATTTCTTATAGGCACCTTTCAGATACTGAAGGTCCCTATAAGGTCTCCCTGGAGCCTTCACTTCTCCAGGCTGAAAACTCCAACTCTCTCAGCCTGTCTTGTTAGGAGAGGTGCTCCAACCCTCTGGTCATCTTTGTGGCCCTCCTCTGGAGCTGCTCCAGCACTTTGATGTCATTTTTGTTTGGGGGGCTCCAAAGCTGGATGCAGTGCTCCAGGTGAGGTCTCACCAGAGCAGAGTAGAGGGGCAGAATCACCTCCCTCAATCTGCTGGCCACGCTTCTTTTGGTGCAGTCTGGTCAGATGAAACAGATGTGTACCATGGCCTCCTATCAGGCCTCAGAGAAGATGAGCAGTAGCAAAGGCAGCAGAAACACGAAAAGATCAAGAGACAATTCACTCAACCCACTGGTACATTAAACAGTACCAGCTACATTGATCTTAGAGTACAATGCAATACGGGGAGGAATGTTTTCCCAGAATTGAAAACAAGCAGATTAAGGAAGCAGACAACAATCTAACTTATTTTTGAAAATGAAGAACTCAGGCAAATGAGTAACCCTTGGGCAGCAGTGTGTACTGCAGAGTGCACAGAGTTCCCTGAAGAATTGAGATCCACAGCACATTCTCTTTTTTAATTCCCATCCAGAGCGCTTCCTGACTTTTTCCATTTATAGACTGGTTTCAGAAAAAATCACACATAAACATATATTGCATGATTTATCACATGTGTGGTGGTGCATTTATCCTGTTAGATTAACTTTGCAGCAACTGCTGTAAATAAGCAATAGCTTTTGAATTAACATAAAGCCTGACCATAGCAACTAATCTTTCATACACATGAGCTGCACTATGCTCGTGGAGACTCTTGGTGCCAACCAGCTCTGTGGGTTAACTGTGGGAGAGACACGTATCACAGAAATAACTTGCAAAACATGGCCTGTAGGACCCCTTGCAATTCCATGCAGCCTATGGGGCTGGACTCCTTGTTTTGGTTTGTTTCTCATTAATCTTTCTTTAAAAGATGGAAAGCTGACACATCTTGCCCCCCAGAGTAAGAAATATGCCCCTCTTTGGCCGCCAGTGATCTGGTCACTGGCCACAGAGTCCCTTCCATGTGCTGAAATTCATTCCCAGCAATGGTGGCTTGCGACACAGAGAGGCATCATGCAGAGGTCATTGCTGGGGAAGCCATCCCCCACAGAGACGTGGAAGTCCCCCACAGTCCCAGGGAAGCACAGATGAATCACTTTTCTTTCTCCACCTTCAGATAAAGGTGGCTGGAGAGCAACTCTGCGTGAACGCCACAATGTGAGATTTACAGCCGCTTTCAGTTCTGTGTGCCTCTGAGCAGCCTTTTAGGAGCAAAACCCAACCAATAAAGAAGGTAAATACCAGCTCTGCTGGGCCTCTGCCTGGCTGCCATCAGCTGCTCTTGCACAAGCAACTCTGGGAGCTGTTTCAGCAGCACACTTTTGCTTCTGGCATGTAAAGTTCAAGTGGTGCTGTCTTGTTAAATATATTTTTCCCTTCTTTTAAGGGAATTTGTCTTACCACCTCAGTCACAGAGGTCTGACTGCTTCACTTACAAAAGTTAAAAGCTAGAGAATACCTTGATGTGAAGAATTTTATAGATTTTCACCCCCGGGAAGGCATTTTTACTGGTCGTATTTCAGTGAGACATTAAAAAAACATGCTTGTGTGTGTCTTTTTAAATTGCTGCCATTACCATCTGTACAACAGGTTATGAAAGCTGATGCTACAGAGGTGGGTTTTGTACTTTTTACCCTAAGACAGGCAGACAAATTGTCAGCTTTCTTGTTGCTTAAAACCACACCCTTGAGCTGTGATTCAGCAAATTCCCTGAGTAATTCTGATCTGAAAGCTGGGTTCCTCCTTGTCATGTCCTGCCGAGGGTGGATTTCCCCTAGAGAAGCCAATGAACAAAAGCTCATTTATTTCTGTACGTGGTGAGGAGGAAACTTGCTCCACCATCTCCCCACCTCTTCCTGCAAAATGTTGGCTCTCTTTTGCACCGATCACATCAGGTCATGAATGAAAATGGAAGTGAGCGGCAGGGGAGCTTGGATATAGAAACTGTTTTGAACAGCGCTCCCTGCACTGCTCCACATCTCATAAATAATAGCTCTCACCTCATTTTAGCTACAAAGAGAAGCAAAAGCAAGCTGCCTGTATTTTCTTCAGCAAACCTAAGGTGCTCTCTCGGGGAGGAAAGACTGAGCACTCTGTTATTAACTGACATTACTGAGGAAATACGCTTGCTTTTTTTGGGGCTGCAATTTTTTTGCCACAGTTGCGGCAGCATCTTGATGGGGAAGCTGATCTCCAAAGGCCAGCAGAGAAGGGATGCACGAGTTGTCATGCTGGGGCTCGACTTCGCTGGCAAATCCACGCTGCTGTACAAACTGAAGAGCAACCGGGCTGTGGAGACCTGCCCAACGGTGGGCTTCAATGTTGAGTCTCTGCAAACACCCTGCCAAGTGTCCTTCACCCTCTGGGACGTCGGTGGACAAGACAGCCTGCGGGCAACCTGGCCCGACTACCTGGAGGACACAAACACCCTCATCTTCGTGCTGGACAGCACAGACACAGACCGGCTGCCTGAAGCAGCAGCAGCGCTGGAGGAAGCGCTGAGCCACCCCAGCATGGCCGGCGTCCCCGTCCTCCTCCTGGCCAACAAGCAGGAGGTGCCGGGAGCGCTGGCTCCTGCTGAGCTGGGTGAGAGGCTGTGTCAGGAGCAGCTGGAGGGGCGCCGCTGGGTGCTCCAGGGGTGCAGTGCCTACACCGGACAGGGCCTGCAGGAAGCCCTGACCATCCTGGGAGAGCTGCTGCGAGGTCTGGAGCAAAGCTCCTCTTCTCCAGAGCAAACCTGAACCTCGGGTGGACCCTTTCCACTTGTCACTGCCAGCAGGTTTGCCACGGAGGATCCCAGCTTCTGGGTGCCCCTGAAAATGAGCAGACCTGCAGTTAGCATGCACTACACCAAAAAACACTCAGCCGCTCGCCACTGAAACCCACCAGGAAGATCTCTGAGCAAAACTCTCACTATGGAGCATTTCTGGCCACGTCTCGTGGACTCCCATCACCAGCCGCAGCTTGCCCCACTGTCGCCAGGCTCTGTTCATCCCTTGCGTGCATGTCCAGTGCTTCATTGAGGATGCTTTTTGCCAGAGCAGTATAAATTGCACATGTGAGATGTGCACAAGGGACAGAAGAGGTTTTCTTCTTTCTGCAGCTTCCAGCCTTGATGCAGCTATCCTGACAGGGTGATCCCTGTAGAGGGGTGTTTGAATGCACCCCGCATTGCTTCTTTCTCAGCTCCAGTTACACATTCATCAGCCGGAAAAGCAGGCAGCCACTAACAGTGTAAATGCAGGACTTCAAATGGACAACAGGCAACTGGTTTTAGTGCAGCATCTACGGGTATAATCTTTGAGTCATGGAAGCAAGTCAGGATTCTATGGCTTCCATGTGTATACATTATTTTCTGCATTTCTTATTTTGAGTCTTTTTTTCCATTCATTATTTTCATCAAATACTGATTTCATGAAAATGGTACCTCATTTTCCTTGGATTATATTTAAATATAAAGAAATAAAATCTAACTTCTACTTCTTTGGAAACGTGTCTGCATGACCAGTCAACCTCTAAGCCAGGATGAAGCTCCATCTCTCAGACTTTTTGAAACTGGGTAAGACCACTCTATGGGCAATGGTTGGTAACCATTGGGCACAGGTATGTTGGTAACCAAAGGGCTCTCCACACTCTACTGTGTGTAGGGCAGCTGAAAAGCCCCTGACAGCTCCCAACAGGGCTAGGTCCCTTGTTGCAGTGATGGTCTTTGTCTGATCCTCCTGAACCTACCATTGGAAAGACCTACAAAATGTGTGCCTGAGGGCTCCCTGTACCTAAAATTCTATTATTCAGGGTTAAAATTAAGAAATTTCATAGTAGTCCCTACTTTATTATAAAATGAATGAAAGTGGTGGGGGAAGGGGAGAGAAAGGACATAAAATTTTCAGGAAGCAGAAGACAGCTGCTTTGAAAAAGAACTTATTCAACCTAGAAACACCAAGGAGAAATACACAGTGAAATCCTCCTCTGTTCATACTAGAGCATTTTATAGTTGTTAAGGAATTAATCATCCAGCTGTTACTGGTACTGTTATTGGCCTCATTTCATAGAAGAAAGCAACTGGAACGGAGAGCTTAAATGGTCATGAAGAAACAATCTGACATTTATAAGAAAGTCTCAATAAAAGAAATCGTTCCCAGTGGAAAAAGTTTAGCTGCCTTAATGTGTAAGAACTATTGTATGCTATGAAATAGTACTCCAGTGTTGATGTGATCATGGTTATGAGTATCCTTAAACAGCACTGAAATGTTCAGTTAATTATATAACAAACCTGTGTGCATGGTGAGTAGGACAAAATCACATCTTTACATCTTTGTAGTTAACATAGGCAGATCCATCTGGCTTTGGCTTGTTGCAGGTGATCATCCTTCGCTTCTAACGCACAAGTCTCCAATGCACGTCGGGTGTGTTGGACCAGATGATCTTTAATGTCCCTTCCAACCCAAACCATTCTATGGTTTGACTGTCAGAGGTGGACCAAGCAGATTTTGTGAGACAGCACACGTGTCTAGACAAGAGATGAATGAACTCAGGTCATCTATGCAACTCGGTCACCAGTGCATGAAAAAAACCACATCTTCTCAGGACTTATCCAGCTGTTTTGAATACCAGTCCTAGAGGCACAACGCAAAAGGCTCTGTGTTGTATTGCCATGCCAAAAAAATTCTCCTTATTGAGTTTGCTGGTGTTTTGGTCTTGCATCTCACATGCTAGAAAGCAGAGTATTTTTCATTAGGGTGGGCAATTGGCAATAGTTTAAACTCAACACAGACTGAAGGGTTGTCCTGGTGATGTTTTACTCTTAATTGGTTCTTGATGCATGCATTTGACTCTACAGGTTTGTCTGCTGGTGGTTAAAAAAAGCACTGAAGCCTTCCCATTCCCTCATGAGTTTTTTTTTAAGCCTTTTGAAGAGAAAAAATAGGCTCCTCTGGCAGCAAATAGAGGTAACCACCAGCCTTTGGTAGATGCCATCAATTAAAAATTAAAATAGCAAGGTAGGAGGTGAGGAAAAAGGGGTTGTTTTTGGCAGTGGGAACCCTGAATGCCTGAAACTGATGAAGCAACATCCCAGTTACTGAAAATGTTCTCACTTCCCCTGAAGCAGTAATTTGGCAAAACACCCCATCTCATGTGGCATCATGTGATTTACCATCCTTGTTTTCTGGAACAGGTCTTTTCTAGATGTTTGGTCTCATTACTCAGCTCATTTATGCCATTGTTAGAGACTGTCAAAACGGCGCTGGGTCATAATGTTTGAAACAGCAACAGAGAGTTTACTTCTCATTATTTTGTCTTCTCTCTTGTGTCAGAAAGCGCGTTAAAACAAGTCAATCTAATGGGCCCTGCACTGCTCTGATCAAACGCTTGCAGGATGCTCACCCAATGATACTTAAATGCTTCAGGGTCAAAACTCCTGCCTGGTTCAAAGGGAGCAGCATGGAGGTTTGCAGGAAGAAGCCAGTTCTAAGGAGGGAAGTTTGTTACCTCTTTCTTGGTAATTCTGCAGTAATTACCGCCACACAGAGCATTGATCTCTTAATTACCGCCACGCAGAGCATTGATCTCTTAAACATCTGCACTTATGGACTCCAGCCAGGAGGGCACCCTTGGACTTAGAGTTTCCATCTTTCTGGGTGAGTGATAGGTGTCACAGCCTCTGCACTGATTTCTAAAATAACACAGCTTCTCTCTTAGTAGCAGGCAAAAAAATAATCCCTAGGACAATTTCATGCTTCAGGTTCCTCATAAATTTGAAGTATCCTTTGGGTTATTGGCCCAAGAGCCACCTCTGGTTGCTCAAAATTCCTTTCTAGGAGCTCTTCTGGATGCTAAGTCCATCCACTTGCTATCCCTGACATTGGCTGTCTCAAAGCCAAAAGAAAATGTTTGGAACAACAGGCTGTTTATCTTTTATTTCCTTTTTGGTTTGTTTTTGGGTTTTTTGTGGCTTTTTGGTGTGTTTTGGGTTTTTTCTTCAGCAACAAGTATTTATTTGGCTCTCTTTACAAAGGAAACTTATTGCTTGAGAGTAGTTTCACTGCTGTTTTCGCCCACCACCACGCTTGTTATAACTTGCATCCCACCTCCATACTCTGCCAGAAGCTTCTTACAGTTTCAACATCTCTCTTTAACTGTGGTCTGCTTTTCCATGATCTTGGATCTGGTGGCTAAGAGCTAAATGTACTGGCAAAAGTGGCCAACTTGTAGGATAGCAAGGTTTGGAAGGGACACCTGGTCTAAAACCCTGCTCAAGTCAGGTTGGTCAAGGCTTGGTGCAGCATTTTTGGATGTCTCTAAGGATGGGGGGTTGACAGCCTGGCACCTTCAGAGGCACTCTGGAGTGTAATACCTTTGCAGCCACTTAACTGGAAACCATAGCTGTGCATTAATTGCCACTCCACTGAGAAGAGCCATACTGGTAAGTGACAAGAGCCATACTGGTAAGTATCTGCCCTTGCTTGTAGCTGTCAGAGCAGCCTTCTCACCCAGGCCCATCGGTTCCTCCAGCCCTGGGACACCTCATCCCTTCTCTGCTTTGCAGGGATCACTGCAATAGGAGCTGCTTCCCTGTCCTGCTGCCTCTTTTGAGGACACTAAGACACTTTGGTCATCTTTCACGCTGTTTATGAAAGGACACAGCTAATTACTCACTGATTTACTAACTTTTCTGTGGGACTGGTTTTTAAAGCAGCTTCAACAAACCCTTTTCATGACTATGAACCCAGCACAGCTTTATTTATTAATTTCTGACAAGGAGTTTTCCATCCACCCCCAGAGAGGAGGAAAGCAGCGAGATGGAAAAAACCAACATCAAAAAACAGTGCAGGAAGGGTGATTCATCTTTTCCTCTTCTCCTCACCAGGACAGGAAGGAGAATTCACCTTTTCTCCTGTCTCTTCACACCTTCCATATCTCAGCCAGTCCACAACACAAATCGGTTTCAACTTGCATGTTAGCTGATTTCTGCTCTTGGCACTGTTTCTTTGATTTCGGATGGACCCACATGGCATTTGCCTCACAGTTACTGGTGGAGCTTCTCTGGTGAGTTTCACCATGGTTTTGCTGAAGAGCCTGAGATCAGAGGGGAACCAGGCGATGCCAGGGCTGCAGGGGAGGGGTGTGAATGGTTGCCAATGAGCTATTTAAAGAGGGAACAGGCAGCCACGGAGTGCTGAGAGGAAGCTATGATCGGGTGTAACACCAGCAGAACACAGTTCAGGCAGCAGCCAGAGCCACGGGAAAGGCCTGGGGGAAAAAAGATCAAGAAGAATTTCTGAAAAAAGCTTTCTTTTTTTTTCTCTCTCTTTTGAAAGGAGATTTCTTTTGAAATACCAAAGAAATTATTGCAAAAAAACCCCTTTTATTAGGAGATGGAATGTCTTAATTATCACTTTCATGCACCTAATGGCTTTCAATTAGTTTCTTCCTCTTAAAGAAACCCTGAAATACCACCTATAAAGATTCACCACATGTAACTCACCAAGAAAACACAAGGAGTAAAACCATGTTTGATGACATCTCTTAAGAAAAATTAATACTCTTGCCAAAAAACAGTCATGCAATTATGACTAAGGGAAATGGCAAACTACAGTTCAAGACACTACAGCCTTCAAAGGGTTAATTAATTTGCCTTCATCTAAAGTCTCTGATACTTTACTTTTTTTTTTTTTTGTGATGCATTTGCTTGAGTTGCAGCCCTGACCTTGCTGTCTGGATATTGTTAAAAATGTGAAGTGAAGGCTGACATTTGGGTTAGGACCTCAGTGATGCACCCATGGCTGGAAGCACATCATCCCCCCGCCTTGTACTTCACACTACTCTATTTGTATAAAATTCCTACAAGAAAGAAAAAATAAAAAGATGAATTAGCCTACTGCAGTGAAAGGCAATGTCAACCAAGATTTGGCAAGCACTTTCCCCTCTGCTCCAACCCAATCCAACACCCGTCACCCTAAATCAGCTGAAGGAGGTCACTGCGTTAACCCCTCTGAGCTGGCCCCAGAGAGATGGCTGTAGCACCAAGTGCCCACCAGAACCCTCCCCAGTGCTCGCCCCACTGCCACCACACACCCAAAATGCTCCCCAAGGGCTGCACTTGACACCTGCTCTGAGCATACTCCAGAAAATACCCTGCAGCTGGCCCCACTAAAGGTGGGAATCACAGAGTGTTGTGGTTTATACAGTTGCTCTATCACATGATGCCTACTCCCCACCTGGGGAGAGGGTTGGGAAAAGGAAAGGAATTTGTGAGTTTAAATAGAAATATATTTAATAAAATAATAATAACAATAACAACTAATATTAATAAAAGCTATAATATAAAATACACAGAGTTATACTCAGCCAGTATCGTGGGGGAGTAGGCCTCAGGGTTAGGATGGTAAATAAGTCTCTCTCAAGGTATCAGCCACGGAAGAGGGAAGACGGAGAAGGAAGGACAGGAGGGGCAGAAAGGCCATCCCCAGCAAACTCCCCAATTTATAGTGAATGTGATGCTTATGCTACAGAATAGTATTAATTGGTGAGCCTGGGTCATCTGCCCTGGCTTTCACTCCTCCCAGCTTCTGCACCTGTTTATCTCAAGACTGCTGAAGACTTTGAGCACTATGGCAACCTGCCTACCAGGACCAGCCACAAAATGTCTTATCAACTCTGTTCCTGTGAAATAGTGCTGTAGTCCTTAAAAACACTGCAGTTTTCCTCAACGGAAAACTTGACTTTAAAATTCTGTCCCAGTAAACCAGGACACAGAGGCACCTTCCCAGCAGGGAGAGAGGTGAAACAAAAGCATTTGACTTACCCCACCGTGGTGATGCTTGTACTGAAGGTACCAGATGTTTTCATCGCTGTTCCTCTCCAGTATTACCACAGATGCTATGCTTAGGCTTAGGCAAGCAACCTTGCCTTAGGGACAAGACACCCTCCTGGATGCTCACCGATGCCATCACATTCGAGAGCAACCATTGCCTGCATCACTGGCTTGGCCCTTGTGTCCCATCCTCTCTACAAGCTCTCTGCTGGAGGTGGCACACAGTGGCCTCGGAGCAGCACCGGGCAAAAGGGGACAGCGGGAGTGGAGTAATGGATTTCTAGACCCAGGAAAGCAAAATGGACTTGAGGCAGGGAGCATAAATAAGAGGAGAGCAAAGAGCTTGAAAACAGAGGAGAGAAAATGGAAGATGAAAGCCAATGGGAGGATGGGCTTGGTCCCACTGCGTCCCCTTGCACAAGCCGTAGAAAGAGTCACAGAGTTCAATAATCTTGTTTAAAAACTCCAAAACTTTTGTCGCAGATGAGCTCCCAAGAGGCCATTTGAGGATGGAGCAGGAGTCCAACACAGCACCAGTTGTAAGGTATCTGCACAACACAACATGCCTCAGGGTTGAGCTTTCACAAGGATGGAGCAAGTATCTCCCCCCTGTTCCTGGGGGAGGTCAATATGGAGACAAAATACAAGAGACTGTTTCCAGGGACACCCCATTTCTATAAGATGGGACGGGACCCACCAGCAAAGATGATGGTTCAGCCCCTTGGTTACCCCTGGGCTTTCTCCCTTATTATTCCATATTCATCTCTATTCTTCCATATTTCCTCCCAGAAAGAATAACTTGTGATTTCAGGCAGATGCTGCTCTGTCTTCCATTAAGAAAACGGCCTCAATGTTTTTGTTGTTCTTTTCTGCATCCTGTCTTCATCCCCTATAAAAAAGTGGCTCATGGTGCCATCTATATCCCCCCAGCACCATCAGCAGAGGTAACAAATGACCTTGTTGTCCCCTTCCCTTGCAGAGCTGAAGACCTCACTAGCCTCCTCCACTGCTGCATGGGAGCCCACACGCTGCTGCTGACAGGAAAACACTAACACAAGGAAATTTTAGGAGAATGGGTCCTTGGAGTGTTAACTCTCCAGGAAAAATCAAGGCCTTGGCTAGAGCGAGAAGCCGAAAAATACCACAGACAGGTGTATGGCAGATTGTGCCTTGCTGCATCCTCAGGGCCAGCCCCGGCTTGCCCTGCTTTTGCCTGTCACTTCCATCTCATCACCAGCAGAGATGAGGTCCCCTGACCACCCAGCTCATGGCTGATAGCACTCCAGCCACACGGGAGCATCTCACGGTCTCTGCCGCCTTCCTCATGGCCAACGCATCCTAATTAAATTATTTCAGTCTTGTTGTGGTACTGGAACTCAATGGAGCTTCTTGCCATTTTCTTGAAGGTGATGTGCCTCAGGAAAGAAAGTAGGTGCAAGGAAAGAGCTTCTGAGGATGTATTTACTGTGAATTTCGAGACTGTATGTTATACCCATGATTCTAGTGCTGCACTAAAAGACATGTCAGCCTTTTTAAAAAAGGTGAAAAAGGATAAAGTGGCAATGTAAATAATATGTCTGTTAAAACAAAGGCAAAACAACCCCCCAAACCCTAAAAGCCAGGGACAGTGGAAGAAGTTTCAGCTGTTAAAAAAAGCTACAATCAAACCAGGCTGTCTCATTAAAATCATCAACTACTGAGTCAAGAAAATTAAGAAATTAGGGTCAGACTATTTGATTTTGAGGAGATGCCAAGAAGGCACAGTCATGCCCAGGTCTGCTGGTCACTCCCCCGCTCCCTTCCATGGGACTTGTCCTTAAAAAAAAGGTGGAAGATGAAGGTCGTGTATTTCTCTGGTGACTCTCCCTATCCATAGGAGATGATATTCTAGCATCCCTTCTTTACTCCTTTGCTGACCAGCATTTCTTGTCGTATTCCCAATGGGCATGGAGACCAGTCTAATCCTTTGAGCTTTGCAGCTGCCTTTCGTATATTTAAAAACATTAAGCCTGCCCCCAGCATTTTCTTTTACGTTATACTTGAGGAAGTTTTAAACTCTGAGTTCAGGCAAAAGGTGAGGTCTAGGCTATGATGTGCCTCTTGTGGGAGTTTGCT